TTAAAGAAAGGTAAATGATAACTTGTGAATAAATGCCTCGATGGGATTCGAACTTGCGACCTCTCGCTGTCAATGCGAGCGTCATAACCATTAACCCACAAAGGCTTAATGGTTGAACAGATCCATATAACCGCTATGTACACTCTATTACACAATGGGCGTACGACAGGAAATAAATAGTAGCATATAATATAAATCAAGATAGCCGTTAACACTGTTAAGTTATATATAAATCATCAAAGAAGGTAAATACAGTGTTGGATTAAAGGACGTAATGGTGCGTCGTGTAGCATAGCCCTCAACGAATGCTGTCATACAGATATATAATAAATTGTGTAATAAAATAGATCCGACAGGATTCGAATCTGCGACCTCTCGCTGTCAATGCGAGTGTCATTTACAATTAGACCACAAAGGTTTCATGGCCCTGAACAGATTCAAATAACCGTCAGGTACACTCTATTACACAGTGGGCGTACGACTGGTAATAAATAGGCCTAGTAGCATACAAGATCGCCGTTAACACTGTTAAATTATATGTAAAATAAAATTATTAATTCATTATTTATATGTTCTTTTACATCTTTGAGAGCTATGCCACACGATGTACCATTATGTCCTTTATTCGAACACTGTATTTACCTTTCTTTGATGATTTAGCCTATATATAATTTAACAGTGTTAACGGCTATCTTGATTTATACTATATATTATATAATATATATATATATTATTTATATATAGTATTATATAGTATTATATTATTATATATAGTATTATATAGTATTATATTATTATATATAGTATTATTACTAAACATTATCCAAATTAGCAGTAGGTTTACAAACACGAGAAGTAGGCCTACATATGCCTTAAATTATGAAAGGGAGAAATTGAACTTCTATGATGATCTAGTGCACCACAGTCCAATGAGCTGCAATTTCACTGGCAATACGCCAACTACGGCAGACACGCCGGTCTGATGAAATTCAAGGAAGTAATAATAATGCCTATAATGACAGTCCTTTAGTCATATCTGTTCGTTTATTGTAGCCTGTAGGGTTTTAATAAGCCTGTAAAATCCCCCAAGAAACAACACAGAGATCACATACCGGTAAATCAGTTAACCATTTACTTTTATAATCTCTATTTACACTGTGCCTGAAAATTTGGATCTATGCAAGGAATAATTATATAAAAATGCTTTTGAATGAGGCCTACCTCCGTTAATATAATATATGGGCAGTGTTTTCTCATTCTAATTTTCAAGAAAAAGCTATATCTATGATAATTAAAATATGCACAAAGTAAATAATTATTAAAATATTTATTTCCCTATCATTTTTAGTTTCCCAAAAAGAGAGCACATGTCGTTTATATAACGGACATTTAATATATATTCAATATCTTGCTTCAGCAAACCTGCAATTTCTATACTATTTCAATACTCTATTACTGGGTTACGTGTCACATACTGTGTCAAGGTTTGCGGGAAGTCCTTGAATTGTACTTATTTATTAGTCCTTTTTTGGTGTGAAATTGTGAGTTCAGGTAACAACAAACAATGATTATCATTGCGACAACCAACATGATTGACATAATAAATCTAGTTATCATTGCAATTTATAGTTGCGAGTTTGGAATTTCCCGATGTTCGCCTATTTATACAATACATTCAATAGTCATCAACAGAGCGTGTTGAAGAATCTGTACAGTCAGTCGCGTATTATCTACTGGTCTGGTCTGGTCTCGTCTTCCTGTTGCTCTCCTCTTACTCCATCAAGATAGGCTTAATTCTACACTATTTACGACAGAAACAATGATTCGCGTGTTCCTGTGTGGTGCACATAGCACTGGAAAGACCACACTGCTTCACGATGTGGGAAAGGAAGTGCCTGACATCAAAGAAGAGTCGGAGATTGCAAGACGAGTACTGAATCAAATGAGCCCAGAAGAAAGACTCAAAGTCGTTGATTATAAAAATCATCCAAAAGACTTTGAAAAATTACAAGTAAGTATACTCAAGGCTGTGCACACAGATAGGCCTTTAAATGCTGAGACCAGGGAGTTGTTATCTAAATAACAACTCCCTGCTTAGACATACAAATATTATGATTAGGCGTGTATCTGAGTAGTGTATTTCACTCTAACTTTCATGTAAGTGATTTTATCATTTCTTTCATTTGAAAAGCGATTAATTTTGAAAAGACAGTGTGAAGTCGAAAGAGAAAACGCAAATAATGGAAAAGATTACATTGCAAATAGAGGGATTGATCCGATCGTGTATGCAGCATTATACCTTGGTGATGACGTCAAGAACACACTACTAGCATTGCCGACAACACAGGAGTGTATACAAAGGTAATTTGCTGGTTGATCTGTTAATGATTAATTCAAAATGTTTATAGAAACGTAAATGCATTTATGGCTTCTAACTCAAAATACAAATATAAAAGCACCGATAGCTACGTTCGACACAAATTCTATAGTTTAATTCAATTGAAATATATTTCAGAAAAAAAATTTAAAACAAAAAATAACATTCGGACGATTGCCAAAAAGTTGAGGAACCAGGAAGTGGTTCTCAGCATCAAAACTTATAACTAGAATAAAAATAGTTTAATCCCGTTTCCATTGCACCTTTGATTGTGAGTCCTGCTTTGTGTCTCAAATTTTGCCGTTCCTCCACCACCTACTACACTGCCTTTGCCCTCCTTCAGTGAGAGACCGACTCCTTTACCCTAGACAGTGGCGGACTCCAGGAATTCCAAATAGAGGGGCCCAGGAAGGGACTCTCACATATAGAAGATTTAGAGGACCTCAGCCCCACCAAGGTTGAGCTGTGGTAAGAAAATGGCACTCTCACACCTAAATCTGAATATATTTCTGTTCTCTCCACTTTTTTTTTATATAATTTTGAAAACTTTAAGGTTGGGGTGGGGGAAAGGGCGCAGATCTATTATGAAAGGTGGGGGAGGCATCCCGAGACCACACCCACCTCAGCCCCACCATGTTGGAGCTGAGGTGCGAAAATTTGAGGAGATAGTACTCTCTCTACATGACCGGAAATGACACTCATAGTAACATTCATCATATCATATCACCCTATAGTTAAAATGAAGCGCCCACAAATTTCGCATGATCTTTCATCAGCGATTTTCGGCAACCCATAGAGGAAACCATGGAGGAATTAATTTAGTTCCTCCATGAGGAAACCAAGTCTGAATAAACAAATGTGACTCTGTCAAAGCTAAGCTCTTTATCAACTTGGGGGATTATTAATATCCCACTGTTACGAACTTTGACATCCTAGTTTACAGCTGTATTATAAGAGTTGTATCCTGTATACTTCATTATTTTGAACTTTAAAATGACACCATGAAGGAGTCGAAATGCCGTTTTTTTTTTTTAGCGTTATTTTTATTTTAAGTATTTATTCAAAATGTACTTTTATTCATAGAGATCGAATTAATAATATGGGTGATGTACCATAGTAAATTAACTTTACAACATTGTCTTTTCGGATGTATTTACTTTACTTACCTACTTTAAACCGTGAGTCCCAGATCAACGCAGTGGGGGATCTAGGAATTTGAAATAGAGGGGGCCCCAGGGAGAGGGACTTTCACACCCGCACAATAGTTAGGGTTGAGGTAAGAAAATTTATTAATATGGCACCTCTAAATGGCAGGAAATTTCACTCTTAGACTCAACATTTGAGTAGAATTTTCCTTTTTTCTTATTTGTTTTTTTATTTTGAAAAATTGAGGGTCGTGGGGGGGGGGGAGGCCGGCTCCCCCCCCCCCCCCCCCCCCCCCCATGATGATTGGGGCTGAGGTGCAAAAATTTGAGGAAATAGAACCTCTAGATGGCCGGAAATGACACTCTTATATGTAAAATTCATCATCACCACATCACAATTAATGAAGCGCCAACAAATTGCTCTTGATCTTTTATCAGCGATTTTTGGCAATCATAGAGATGTAATTAATTTCTGTGATGCACCATTAAAAAATAAACTTAATTTTCTTTGATGTATTTATATGTACTTTACTTTCCTCCTTCATGTGCCGAAAATCAATCTTATCTTTGCACGCTTTTTTTGTCATACTTCTCGAACTATAAATTATAAGCACGCTCACTCAAGTCGTGTATAATAGGTAACTCGGGTATTTGTGGGCAGAGATACCAGTATTTTGCTAAGAATCTGTATTCTGGCTGTGCAAGAATTTTTCGTTAAAACCTGGGCCATTTATGCATTGGCACTTCATTAAAGAATTTTCAGGCATCTTTTTGACTTATGAAATCACATTGACGCCGAAAAGTGGAGGAAGAAACACCCCCCACCCCTTAAAAATATGGACGGGCCGGCTGCTTCCTTGAATCCGCCACTGCTAGAAAATGAATGCTTTTTATACAAAAAATAGAATAGGACGTATATTTGCTGTTGTTGCTGTTCTAAGAACATGTTTTTGAACTTGGAATGTTTGTACGGATGACAAAATTTGAGAGATCCTTTGGATGCTTCACACTAACATTTACATTCGTGACCGTACCGGAAGAATCGTGTTTCAAAATTAAAACATAGGCCTAAATTGCTCCGAAGTGGAAGAATTTGGCATACTGCCTGTAGTTCAGGCATGCTCGAGGGAGGGGCTCGAATCTCAAGGGGTCCATTCGCTTGCGTCATTGAGTAAGTTACTTTAATTCCACTATCTGGTGCATATACACCTAATTGTTTCAGAGAATGTTACACTGATTGCTACCGGAACAGTTTCTAATCAAAATAATCATGAAACCATTGGGATTTTCTATGGAAAACACACTAATTTATAACATTTTTATTTTATATTATTCCAAAAGAATAATCTATTTTGCATATTTTACATTTTAATTTACAGGTATAAGACGTCTTTTGTATTTGTTATTCACCCCCATAAGCAATGTATGAAGGAAGACGGTGAGCGAATCAACCCAGTTTTTAGCGAACTGACACGATTTACAGAACTATTAATTCAGATCCTTGATGATTTAGGAATTGAATACATTCCGATAACCGTGTTGGACCGCAGTGAGCGATGCAGTATTGTTGTGGATCATATAAGGCAGCGTCAAGAATTATAATATCCAGTTTAACAGGCCTAATGAATGTTTTTCCAATTATTGCGAGTAATATTTTTTAGATTGATAAAGATCTATTGAACTTAAAAAATTAAATTCAACGTATTGATTGTTTAGTTTGGTAATACAGGTCCGGTCCCCCTCCAATTAAAGACCACTTTTGGGACGGGGTTTCTATGGTCTTTAGCAGGTTTGGTCTCTAATTTGAATAATATAATAGATTAAATATACTTTTTAATATGGAACCACAGAAAAGTAGTCTTTAATTGTAGATGGTACTTAAATGGAGGGGGTCTTTAATTAGAGCATGGAGGTAATTTTCTACCTCAATGATTAGAGAGAGACCTGTAACTTTAAATTTACATCTTTGTTATCTGTCAATAGTAATCCTTCGCCCTTCATTATAGAGGATATAGGAGCTTGGTTTAATGCTAGATGGGGAGATTAAGCATTGTTTTTAATTAAATTTCCTTTAATGAGGATAACTCAAAACAACTTAGCTGAAAATCATGAGGCCCTCAACCGAACCCTGTTTCTCCGTCAGATATTTTGAACAAAATAAATTGAGGTAGCTTATGATATTGATTTCTAGTATAGTAAAAATTAAGGATGTAATCAACTTGAGTAAATGGTATTGATGTATGGTATTGAGGCCAAAAACATATAATGGACTGAGGGTTAAATCTGTGTGGTACACTTGGCATTAAAGGCTGCATACACTCAGGTTTATGACCCTGAGTAAAAATACTAATATATACAATCATTAATAGGCCTACTGATATAAACAATCATTAGCAAGGATAGAACCTTTGTAAAAATATTAATAAGTACGAAACAATTCAAACAAAGGATAATCTCAAAATGGTTAAGAAAAACAGGTTTAACATTTTGTCGTTTATAATCAAATAATAAATGCACGTATCTATATAAAAAAAATCAACTGAAAGAAATAACGTACGACCTCACCAGAAGTAAAACCGAAACTGACTTTCATTAGACAGGTAATGAAATGAAACAAAAAACAGTTCATTTTTAAAATTAATAATTAAGTTATTTTAATACAAAATGTGCCTAGTTGGTAGCAAAAATGTTATAGAATGACCGAAAATGTATATAAGGTGGTTAAAATAGTAATTTACGGTATGTGTCACGATTATAGTTATAGATGAATGTTTACATTTTTGTTCACTTGGTAGCTCACTCACTTGGATTTTTTGAACGACCAACAAGAATTCATGGTTGTTGTTTTTCTTACAATGAAGCAAGCCTCTCTTTGTATTTAACATGTATTAACGAAATGTACAAAAATAAATAATATATATAATTGATTATAAACCATTCATTAAATATAATTACTTAATAAACAAGTGCGAACAATGAAATAATGATCTGTTGAATTGTTGTAAAATCACTACTAAAATATCTCTCTCATCGGGGAACGACAGTGAGCAAATTGACACAACGGTATACCCGTGTAACATATTACAAAGTTCAGTAGCTCCATAACGTAAGACTATTATACGAAAGGAATGAACTTTACAATGTTTATACTGAATACACCATACGTGATAGTATAATTGAAACCATAAGCTGTGTTTATATTAATGTTCTTTCATCGATTTTTTCAGTCATATATGTAAAACCCTTTTTCGCTTTTGTCTTTATTCAATTTTAATAGGCATATAAATATTAGGGCCTACATTAATTTTAGCAAAACCTATTAGTATAGCAAGCACCACTATTTAGGGAAAATGGTGAAAGCAAAACCTATTAGTATAGGTTTAAGATTAGGGCCTACGTTAGTTTTAGCAAAACCAATTAGTATAGCAAGTAAAGTACCACTATTTAGGGAAAATGGTGAAAGCATGGTATCGTCTTCTTGTTGTCCGGGAGTTTAGAGATGACCACTTGATCTGTTGGGCTTTAGCCTATGTTTTCTCTAGTCACGCCCCTACTTGTAGCCGTTTGATTTCAGACATTCGGCAGCCATTGACATTATGTTGGCGTTAAAAGACTGCATATTGTGATGAGGGTCATTATGTATTACGAGATGTGTATAAGAGACAGATATTTGACTGCATCAGATAATACTTCGGAGAGAAGCGGAAATGTAATTTTTGGTAAGGAGTGGCAAAAGGACGGGCTCGATGATTTTTCTACGAGATTATACCTAATTTTATTGACGGTTGTTGGAAGCATAACAGGCCTATTTCATATAGTTCGTTTAATTAATGTTATTTAACTTGTTTCAACATGGATGAATAGTTTAGTACTTATTCAACCATGGTTTAACTATCAATATTAACATGTTAACATGTTAACTTACCGTTATGTGGATTGTATGCAGGTACTCGCTCCGACGATCTGAGCATTTTAAGCTCTTTTAAAACGATTTCAGGGAATGTTTGTTGACAATACAGGTACATAAGCAAAAATATCTTTATACATATATATTACATAAAAGGCCCTCTGGATTGCGGCTGTTAACATTAAGATTATGTGTTTCTGTCCTGAACATTGTAATACATCGCCTATGTTTAAAATTTGTAACTAAGTTAATATAATGCTGCAGAGTATGATAAGTTGGCTCCTTTATATTCAAATAAAAATGCATAGGCCTACTTTGTGAACAGAAATTGTCATCTTCAAATGTTTGAACATAATTATCTTTGAGTCTGTTCTCAAAGCAATCTAAAAAAAGCGTTGATATCTGCTACACCCTGTTTAAGCCAAACAAATCCAAAACCATACTGAAAAAGAGTTTGTTTTACATGGGAGACCCAATTTGGTGTTATCATAACGATAAAGCATATTGTAACATTTGAAGGGAAGCCGTTTTGGTTCCATAGTTATTACTCTCGGCCAATAGGCCACCACAGTTCTATACACTTTAATCCGTAACGGGTAACGCCCCAGCTCGCCCAATGTTCTAGTGTTGTTAGTGGCGTAAGGGATACCAAGTGTATTTTTAAACAATATTTAATATGTGATGTTTCATAAGTGATGCAATTATCGTAACCCCATACCTCTGAGCCATAAAGAGGAATGGGAACAACCATGGAGTCAAATAAATACATTTTCAAATCTGGAATAATATAACAGTTACCTTCAAGAAAACTTTTTATCTTAAAAATACCTCTACCTGCTTGGTTAGATAAAGTTCGTATTGCAGCTGACCAGGTGCCCGGGAGCTTAATTTAAGGCCCAAGTAATTATAATATGGTACAACTTGTCACATTTATATGTCCAACTTTCGTCTTTGGTCTTTATTCCACCCCTTCCGAAAACAATGGCTTTGGTTTTCCCCGTATAGACCTCCAAATCCCACATATCACAATACTTTTCAAGGGCGTTCAATATTTTTGGTGTTTCTGCAAGCAAGACAATATCATCCATGTATTTCAAATTATTTACCTCAGTGTCACCAACCTGTATTCCCCCAATACCCTTTTGTTCAAGGAAATAATTTAAATCAGAAATATATAGGCAAAATAATAAAGGCGATAGATTACATCCTTGTAAAGCATTTTAACACCCTATAACCTGGACCCCTCCGGCACTTCGCGCCTGTCCTCTCAGTGCTTATTATTTATAGAGTACGGTATGCTGATTTGTTTATAGTATACATTTTACAAATATTGATTAGAAAAGCGTAGTACAGCAGTGAAAACACTAAAACTGGAATTTCCACATTACAGTTGAGTCATAGTCGGAATTTCCAGTCCAGATACTGTAATTCTCTAATGTTTTTCGATTTGTACACACCCATCCCTCATTGGTGGCGCATTTTAGCTCGAGGGGACGTGATCAATGTGTGTAAAGACCGGTCGACACATGTAAGTAAATATTCCGAGGGCTTTATGTGAATATGTATGTTGATGGTTGGACCAGCACTATAATTGCGAACATTATGTATATGGTATATATTCCTCTACTGTTCTTTCCATTGGTATTTTTCATTATTCTACGTCGGCCAACTAAACTTGAAACTGACAATCTCCCAGGTAAGCATAATTGTATAATTTTAAAAAGTCATTATTGTGTTATATTCTCGCATAGGCCTAATGCGGAAAAATCCAAGGGTATATACCACTTGGCCTCATATCTCTGATGGTAAGAGTATCCAAACGGTAATCGGATGGTCTTGGGTTCGAATCCCAAGAACTTGTTATCATCTTTAGTTACCACCAGAGGAGGTATCTCCATAAAAATGCTACTACCATGTAAGTTACCTATTCATTATGTATTACGCAATACCGGTACCTTAAGAAGAAAAAAAAAAAAAAAAACCCGTGTCGTAACTGGAAAATCCAAGGGTGTATACCACTTGGCCTCATAGCTCAGATGGTGAGAGTATCCGAACGGTAATCTGAAGGTCTTGGGTTCGAATCACAATATCGGCAGCATACGTTTTTTCTAAAATATTTATTGTCATCTTTGATTGTCAACAGGGGACGTGTATCTCCATACCAAAGTTACTATCATATAGGCCTATTCCTGATATGTAAGGAGGCGGTTGCTATATCACCAGATAAGAGTTTTGGATGAGGCCAATGTCCCGCCCGTGAACCCCAATGGCCCTTGCCCACGAGAAAAACTAAACATGTTATAACAACAAAAAAAAACAAAAAAAAAAAACAAAAAAAAAACAAAACACTGCTCTCTGTGTATCACATTGCTTCTTGTGTCCTCCTGTATGTGTTAACACTATAACTCATCGATCAATATAAATCATATCAAATAAATTAGGGCCTACCTATTATTTGGCCCTAAGACAACAACAGCAATTTACGGAAAATTGTGTTTTAAATGAGTTTTATTTTGTGATTAACAAAAAAAAACCCACTCGTAGTTAGGCTAGGCATAAATGGTGGAGCCATTTACCACCTTTTGACGATTCACGAGACAATAAACCTCTTATCCGATTGTAAAGAACAATATGTTTAGTAAGACTAAGAGACGGGAACAATGTTCTGAATACACAACTCTTATGCAACCACATAAAAGCTTGGATACGATGTGAATAGCTGAGTGGTGCATTTACCGGCCGGGTTTTTACTTTAGTATACTATACAGTTTTTGAATTACAGGATACGTGTGGGGCATACCGAAAAACTGTTGTCGAGCTGAACATAATAAAAACTACATTAAAGTAGGGCCTATACAGCAATGAGGTAAAATAAGAAGATAGACTAACCACTGACAATATTATAAGAAAAAAGTAAAATAGGTAGAATTTGGATATAGGCCTACATATTACAAATCACGTGATTTATCACAGTATAAAGGAAATGTAAGTTTATGTAAGTCATGCGAGTTCCTTTGCCGGTCTACTTGCATTACATCTGAAGCTAGATAGATCCGTACCAGATTTACTCACATCATCATCAGCTGTTACATTTTCCATCTTTATGTGACTTTGTGAATACGCCCTCTATTTCCACGACTTGTTTCTATCTCAATGTAATTTTCTTTCTCTGTTTTGATTAATAAGTCTGAGTACATAATAGGCATAAAAAAGTACCGTTTCCGTTTGGTTAAAGTAGGCTAATGAGTTAGTTATAAGTTCATATAAGTTACAATAGGCTTATTCATTATTTATTAAACTTCAATTTTTAATTTAAGGTCCCGGTAGCCATTTTGGATTTGGATCCTTCTTAAGCAACTTAAGGTTTCTTTACATGGGTATCCCAGAAGCAGCTAGTTACTATAGCAAAAAGTATGGCGATTTCGTTCGTGTCTGGATAGGAGGAGAGCCAACATATCTCATAACAAGGTAATAAATGGCCTAATTACATCGTCTTTTGTTGTTTTTGTGCGCATGGCTATGTCAAAAGGGCAGACCTGAACGGACAATAACACATATTGTAGGCATGCTTATCGATGCATTTTTAATAAGACACAATTTCTATCTATATTATATTAATCGAATGAACTGTAAGCCCTAATAGGCCTATTATTCAATTGTTAAGAGTAATCTATCAAATGCAGACAATGCTATTGTCCCTTACGTCTTTTGAACTTTGACATAGCCATGTGGAACTGTCAAACTTCTTTAGAAATTGTGTTCTTAACAATATTATGCACATCTGGCTGTATGATGTATTGTACATGATGGTGTAACGACATGTCGGTGGATGGCCACATGTATGGATATTATATTTTTCTTCAACTTGAAAACTTCTTACTTATTTTCAATTCACACAGTTTTGTATTGCAACGAAAGGTTTTTGAAAAAAATCACTGTTGATAAAAATAATTTCATAAAATAAAAACCAGGGGGACAGTGAAATTACATCACTGTTCCCTGATAAAAACCATTCAAATATTCAGTTACCTTGAGAACCGGAAACCAAGGATTTTAAGGTCCATGCTGAAACCACATTACATTGATTTGAAATGCATATTGTAGGCCCTCGGCGGCATGGTATATCTTGAAGAGCAATGGAAACAATTACTGCAAAAGATTTGGCAACGACACTGGCCTCAGTCATATAGGAATGTTTGAGAATGGAATTATCTGGAACAATGACGTCACAGCTTGGAAAACTCAACGCGGATACTTCCAAAAATGTAAGAAAATATTAAAATTATATAGGGGCCTACAGGGTTAGCGCCATGATTTGCCCGACGGGGATCCGAGGTCCCCGACGGGAAGGTGGGGGGGGGGGGCGATGCCCGACGAGGGAGGAAATATCCAAGACGAGAACAAAGTGGGCGTGGTCGAACTTCGCTTGAAATGTTCGGAAAGTGGTCCAGGGGACGAAAGATTTTGACAATTTAGGGGTTTCAGAGGCTTATTTAATCGATTTTAGAGTCAGTGAGTAGAAAATACATATAATTGTTTTTCTCCCCGACGGGGTTCCAGGGCCCCGCCCCCACCCACCTCCGCTGGCGCCACCCCTGATTGTATATTTATCATTTTGGTATCATTGTATTAAGTAAATAAGAGATTAGTTAAATTTAACTTGATCTCTATGAAGGCTAGATACGATTTCATTCTTGTAGCTTTTGTTTGTAAATGCCTTTATCATGTGTATGATTTAAACTGTTTGGAATTTGTTAAGATCAACACTAGACACTCTGATGATTTGCGTTTTAGGCACGCCTTTGCCCGAACCAATGCATTTAAATTCTCTGCTTTCAATTATTTTCCCATTGTATGGGAAACTCTTCCACTTGAAGTACGTGATGCTGCTCTCTTTAACATTAACTTATTTCTCAGAAAGCTAAAAGAACATTTTTACAACTGAGAGAATCTCAGATATGCCTATGCCCAAGTCAAGCTAAAAGTGAACTCTAATTACTTAATTTTCTCTTTTTGGTGTTTGTTGGTTTGAAGTGGGGGCAGGGTTTGGGGGTGGGTGTTTTCCTATTTCTGATCAAAATTTTTGTGTACTTTTTATTTGTTTGTGTGATTGTTTAATATTTATAATAATTATTATGCTGGTAATTGTAATTAAAATTGTTGTAGTTATTATTATTGTTGTTATAATAATAATAATAATAATAATAATAATAATAGTAATAGTAATAATAAAAATAACAATAATAATATAAGTAATGAACATATTTTAATTGTTAATTATTTTTGTATTTTCAATATATTTTTATAATGTATTTATACTGCTAGTCCATGTTTCCCCCATTGCTTGGAGAGCCACTCAGACAGTAATTTATTTTACTTTTTGGTAATCCTGCCGGCTCTTGGGGGAAACATGGATTACCTATTCGAATTTTCTGAATATTTTACTGTATTGTTATGATAAAAAAAAAAAAAGCCGAAATAAATGAAATGAAAAAATGAAATGAATAAATTGAATGTTTTACGTTTTTTTCCAATGCTATGCAATACATATTTCCTCATTCGATACACTTTTATAAATAAGATTGTAAGAAACGCGGAAAAGGGGCGTAATCATTACAGACTATTATGTCATTAAGTTTAGATATAAATATGTGTATTTATGTATAAATCTCATTTCTCATGATCGGTTGGATGGTAGATTCATCAATAAAAATTGCGAATGAATTCAATAACTCAAATAAATCATTTTCGGATGACCATAAGTTAACGAGCTAATCAATATTATGTTTTAAAATTTTGTTTTAAGCATTGAATGCCGATGTATTGAATCGGGCGTCAGCGATTACTGTAGAAGCAACCAACCGCCAAATTTTACGTATTGGTGATTTCCAAAAGAGGGCGGCAGATGGTCGTATTGATGCTCTGGATTTTATCCGTCGTATTACTCTTGATGTGACCAATACATTGATGCTCGGTGTCCATATTCAAGATGGTAAATGTATTGGTTTTTTGCTCATTTCAAACATACTCTAAAATGATGTTAATTCAGTTTCGTATTTAATCGCTTTACGTTATGTTATATGGTATTGTGATATTCCAAAAGTAATACGGTTGATGACGATGACGGCGACGTACGACAGTAGAATTGGTACGGTAGCAAACGTGCTGATGATTGTAGATAAATATTAAATAGACCTATATTAAATAATAGTAAAGTACTAATGCTGATGGTAATATTAACAGCAGTGGAAAGTAGGGTTACACAAGTTTAATACGAAAATACAAGGATTGTGTATATTGTCTTACCGATACCTATCATAGGCCCACTAAACATGTTAATATTTTACATGCTACCAACCTACATACCTACCCACCTACCAGTCAGCCTCATGCATTATTATGCACTTACATGCTATAATGCAAGCTAACTAAAAAGGATCCGAAAACAAGTAGACCTAAACCTAACATAGGTAATATAACATCGTACAAATATTAGTGGAATTATAATTATGAGAATTTAAAATTTGTTTATGGGAATCTGGTATGAAAGTGATTTGATCCATGGAGGAATAAGTTTAGTTTTCTAAAATTATGCCTCCATGTTTGAATTAACAGTCAATTGTTATACTATATTAGATGAGGACGTTGTGAATCGAATTGTGAAGTACTTCAAATCATGGGAATATTTTCTCATTAAGCCGCCCGTATTATATTGGCTCACATCTGCTGAATACAAAAAGCACATCAAATCGATGTGAGTGATAAACTTTTTCATAAATCAAGTGTTAAGTATGCAGATCATGTGTTATTATGCAAATTACGTATTATTTATGCTAATTCGTAGTCATATTGGTGATCGAATAGTCACATAGCTGATTGTTAATACAAAGTTAATTCCTCTGTTAAACCTCTGAACATCTTAAAATTTCTTTTAATAAACCATTTGAAAAAAATTAACAAGTGCATAGAAATGGGATTCAATTTCGTGACGAACTTTCATCCCTGTCACTGTATACAGTACATGTTATTTCTTTAGTCCAATAGCATCAGCCTACAAACAATTTGATTTTTCTTATGAATAGGCCCTAGGCTATCTGTTAAGTTTAAAAGAAAAACCCATGGAAATTCAGTATTATTGGCTTTATATATTTAGGTTAATGGTTATTTGTGGTCAATATAAAATAATATAGTTCCTATTGGCAGGTCTATTAAATACATATTGCCTGTCATGAGATAAAAAAGGAAAAATTAGAATCCATATTTGAATTGATCAAATTTGAATATTTATATTAGTCACAACTAACAATTAAAAATCTGAATGAATAACGTCAGTAAATATTACCTTTCATATATTCTTTTACAAAGACCATTACATTTGCTGGTAATCCATTTAAGGATTTTTAAAGTAAAATGTCTGAAAATCAGCAAAAAAAAAAAAAAAAAAAAAAAAAATAGATATTTTTTGATCTGTTTTTGTTTGGAAGTTAACGAAAAATAAGCTCATAAAGTTTTTAGATTTTTTTTCATATAGGCCTGTTTTTGGCAGGCAGTACAGTATGTCGTTAATGAAGGTTGCGATAAGAAATACGTAAACGGAAAGTGATGAGTGTTTCAATCGATTACCGGAAAAATGGACCAAATCATGTTAACATAATACCAGTACATGTGTTGTGAAAGTGGTTGAACCATTTGTTGAAAAACTGCAGTAACACCCCGTTGAGTAATTTCTTATTCTATTTTTGTTTATGTTAGCGATCGTCTCAATGAGGCCATAGGTGCTATGGTAGAGAAGAAACGAGCAACTCTAGAGAGCATGCGTAACGAAGGTAAAAGCCTTCCTACTGACTTTGCTACAAACCTGATAGAGGCTGAGGTACGTATCATAATAGCAATGATGATGATAATGATGTTGTTGATGATGATGATGATGATATTGATAATGATGATAATGATAATAATAATATAACTTAAATAATAATATTTTAAAATGTTATTATATTTTATTTCATTGTATTGAGGATTGTTATAGGCCTATCTGTATTTGAATTGTTTTGAAAGAGGGCCTCCTCAAGTCACCATTGCTGTTAGAGAGCGAATATGAATATAGAAGTAAATAATAATCAAATACGTATAAACTTAGAGATTGCAATGGAGAAAGGATACAAAGTGTATGTGTTGACCATTATTATTTTGGGTAATAATACTGATTACTGAATAACGGTGCTATTAAATGACTGATGCATTATTTAATTTTATTTAATTTAAGAGACGCAAAGAGATAACAATGGCTAATGTGAAGCAGTGTGTTCTGGAGATGCTCTTGGCGGGAACAGACACGTCATCAGTAACTATGTATTACTTGCTTGTATCTATTGCGAGTAACCCTGATGTGGAAACACGACTTCTCAATGAAATGGATCAAGTTCTCGGTAGGTAAAGACGTAAATCACGAGCTGTAGTAGGAGATTGAGAAGCTTGCTCATCTACAAAACCCTAAAGGGACATGGTTAGAAAAAATATTAAACTGTTTCGAGGGAACGAAACAATATTTCGAGGGAAAGAAATATTTATTTCGAGGGAACGAAACCATTTCGTTCCCTCAAAATATTATTTCGTTCCCTCGAAATGTTATTTCGTCCCTCAAAATATTATTTTGTTCCCTCGAAATAACATTTCGTTCCCTCGAAATATTATTTCGTTCCCACAAAATGATTTCATTCCCTCGAAATATTATTTCGTTCCCTCGAAATAGTTCAATATTTTTTGCTAAACATGTCCATTTAAGGGCTACGTACACATCTATATAACAATGACCCTGAATCATCAGCGTGTACGAAAAGAAAGAGCGCCCTCAAAAAAAGTTCATTGACGTTATAAAACCGCATTATTTTGACGGACAAGTCGTGAATAGAATTTTGAATTGTTTGTAAAATGTTACCAAATTTTTCTTGTTGTTGTTATTAATTACTGGTACGTCCAGATCCTCTTGTACCTACCTTCTAGCCACCGATTGCGGTTCGTGGTTAACCGGGTTTTTTACAAGTTTTTGAAGGTTAACCACTTTGTACCTTGATAATTTCTGCCGTCTACCATTGACCGATGTGTTGATAACCTCTCCTCTACGATGTGTAAGAGGTACCTGCATGCATCCGTCTCGAATCAACAACCACTACAACTACAACCCTCTCTACTACACTACTATATTATATACATACACATATATATTATTCTCGTGTATATATAGGCCTAGGCCTACAAAACGCATTATATAATTATATATTTCAACCTGTCCCATATACACATATATAGATCAATATATGAAATTGTTTTAAACTTAATATTTTATTATGTTTATACTTAATATTGTAAAATTTATATTCTGAATAAAAGTAGTTAAACTAAAAATAAATTACACTGCCGAGTTGTGTCACGCATTCGAAATCGCGTAGTTAGACATGAGTGTCAACCAACTAAGCCAAATATGTTTTTATCTTGCAGGTAACAGGGATCCCTGCAAAGCAGACTTACCAAAACTGGTGTACCTTGAGCAGGCGCTCAAAGAGTCCATGCGATACAAACCGGTAGGACCAGTAGTCATGCGCAAAGCAATCGAGGATGATGTCATCGAAGGCTTTGACACACCGAAAGGAACAAATGTGGTTCTGAATTTGGCGCAGATGCACAGACGGCCAGAAATTTTCAAACATCCAAATGATTTCAATCCCGAAAACTTTTCTGAAAAGGTAAAACTGAAGCTATTTGTTTCTGCCTTAAATAAATCCCAAACACCTAACTCATCATGAACCCCAATAAATGACATGACATACAAATACTTGACGTTAGTGTTTACCCTACGTTTTGAGTAGGCCTACTTATTTAAAATGAATACGTGATAACAAATGAAGAATTCTTTATTTTATATCGTCGGTTTGGCAACATGAGAAGGACACCTTGCCAGAATTACGCAATTATGAAAGATGCAAGAAAGTTGAACTGAACTTTATTTATATTGTTTTATTACTATTATTATTTCTATTATTATCGCCATCATCGCCATCCTCGTCATTATGATGATGATGATGATCATCATCATCATCAATATTACTATTATAATAATTACATTAATTAATTATTAATAATAAATATATTACGATTTCTTCGACAGCTTGATCAACAGCAGTTTGTTCCTTTTGGTACTGGACCAAAAGGCTGTATCGGTCAGTTTCTAGCAATGGTCGAGATGAAAGTATTCTTTTGTGTGTTTCTGCGTCGATATCGAGTCGTTAACTTTGCTGACAAGTCACTGAATGATATTCAAACGAGATGGGACATAGCTCAGCAACCAACTGGAGAGAGCTTCATGTATTTTGTCGAGCGGGCCAAGAACTCTGATACCACGAGTGATGTTTGAAAAATAATGAAGATGCATTTTGTACTACATTACGCTGCTTTTTCCCTTCGGTTCGATGTGGTTTTTTCTTCAACTTTTATACCTTGTCAGATATGTGTTAACTTCATCCTCAATATCATTTTATATTGCAATAGCCTGTTTAAGCCAAATACCGAAAGCTAATCCAAAAAAAGCTGTCTATTGAATATAATAATAATACAGGTCTCCCTCCAATTAAAGAACCCTCCAATTAAAGACCACTTTTCTGTGGCCCCGTTTCTATCTTTTACCAATTAGCTGCTCTAATTAAAGACCCCCTTTATTTAGAGACCAAAGACTATGGTTTTGGTGGACCCAAATGAACATTTTCCCTCCAATTAAGGACCACTATAAAATAAATTTCAAATGAATTAATACTAGCATGCAGTAACTGTCATCCATCTCAAACCGTTTAATATATCATTTCTTTATTTTCCCTCTAAAAGATAAATTTAAGGAACACATTGGGGGGCGGCGCTAGCGTGGGGTCCAGGGGGAGAATGACCCCCCTGTCGGGGACCTCTGGACCCCGGCTTGGACCCCGTGTTGGGGAATTTCCAGCAAGGTCGTCGAGGAAAAATCAAATCTCGAGTGCCGAAGGTGCATTTTAAGCAGGCCTTACTAAGCTGTCAAATTTTAGGGATTAAAAACTGTTTGTGCTGCCGTATGTGCGAGGTATTGTATATTATTTCGATCGTATGGCTTACAGTGGTGACGCTGCTCATCCATGACCGGGGGGGGGGGGCTACCTCCCACATGATAAAGAATCCCATAATTAACACAAAATGTTATTATTTTTAATTAAAAAAAAAATCCCCGACAAATTTAATTTTTCCCCCTGTGGACCCCCTTCTTAGGGAGCTTGGAGAATTCTTGGCGCCACCCCTGAACACATTTATTGCCGGTCTTTAATTATATTGCATTCTATTACACAAAAGTTGAATAGGCCTATACTGAAATTTTTTTAGTAAGACGATGTTTTAGTAATATTGTATTGGAGCTTTAGGTAGAACGAGCATAGGACTTGATGTGTGACTACCAAGAAATGGTTTATTAAGGATAAATCCATTTCAAAGCACTTAGACTAAAACAGTCTTACATATTATTACACGTAAAGAGATAACCAAAGAGTATTGTGGTAATGCTAGCATTTATATTACGGTAATTTATAAAAGGTGAAGATGAGAAAAACGCTTCAGCCGGAAATTCGAATTCGAGTCTTCTGAGAACACTTGAGCTTCGTATTGATCCGATAGGTAGCAAATCGATTTCACTCTCTTGTGAATACACATATCAGCAGTAGTTAGAAACACACTACCTGTAGCAGGTAGGCCTAATCAAAGTGATGCTTTAATTTTAAAGATTTGAAATGACAAGATAGGATCATGCAGTAAACATGTTTTAATATTTATGATTCAAAAAACAAGATTGGATCACCGAAAAGATGTTCTTAAATAAATAGTAATGTGTAGTGTAGTAATGTGTAGTAATGTGAAGACGATGAATCTGGGAGTGAAAGGAACACGGTCTTCTCCTGGATATACAAACGTCTTAACGAATCTAGTGTATGTGCGGAATTGCATATTAAAGTAACACTATAATCTGTATAACAGAGGTCAGTGTGTGTCCTCATATGTTATGTATTTGAAACGACAAAATAGGATCTTTGAAGATACACTTTCGAAAAAATAATGGTATCTGTAAACTCTACACCATCTTACGGTAGTTCGACTCTCCAGCATTTATTTGATGGCGAAGATACAAACTCTGTGCGAGTAAAATACAATCGCTCCAACCGAGATTCGATATTGGTGTTTTTGTGGTACTGATATGCAAATCCTTAATTTTACTTACGAATATTTGTCAGTGTTAAGATGTAACGTTATGTAATGTAATGAGCTTACCAATTTAAAAAAATCTACTAAATATCAATGAAAACTAGAACAAGAAAATATTTCCCTAGCCAATTGACAGTAGGCCTATATTAATAATACAATTTTTATATCTTTTGCATAGACTCTTATGTTTTCTGTCATAATCTATGAAGGTATTGTAGTAAAACGTGTGAAAGTTAGTGAAAACGGAATTTGTTCGATCTGTGTTTCATTGGAAGGTGATACCTGTAACTTCATTTTAAATTAGTAGTTCAGTGTTTAATTAATTTTTCAGAGCTTCTCACAATTTTGAGATGCTCAACAATTTTTGCTCCCAATTTCAGTAAAATTCTCCTGCGAATTATGCAAACAATGTGACTCTTGTACGTTGACCCAGGGGTTGAAGTGGTGGTATTTTCCACTTGTTCAAAATTGTATCTTTAAAGACGATTTTGAATTTACCCGTAGAAGGACTCTATCTCGTCCTTCGGAGGGAAGTAAAGCCGAAAAGTATACAATAGCAGTGATAGTTACACATTATTGTTTAATCTACTCTTTAGTAAAGAAATTGGCAATTGAAAGCGGGGTCAATGTCCTAAATGCGCATTCTGTCGTTCGGCTATTACTTTGATGGTCAAATATTAACATCTGATTTCGACCACAACTTTTATTCAAAAAATTTAAAAAAAATTGCGAAAATGAACAATGCAAATGAGGGCCTATTGCTTTTACTTTTCGAAGTAATTTTTAGTCTACCATCGATGTCTTAGACATCCTTGCGGAATTTCATATATCAACATTTCAATAATGTTACTACCCAATAATAATCGTGGTCTGAGAGCTTTGTTGCAAGGTTTGACGGCAAAATTATTCTAAATTACAGTATTCAACATTACTTTAATAATAGTTTGAGGGTCTTCAGTAATATGGGTTGTGGAGAATCCAAACCTCTTAGCTGGATTACAACTTGATGAAGCTGTAATTTGACTTGTAGGTTTACATAGTTGGTTAATTTTAATCTGAAAGTCGAAGTTGGAAATTAAAAACTATCAGCTCGTAAAATAATAATGATAAAATAATAGTATATAATGTAATAAGCCTAATGATTGTAATGATAGTTATAATAATAATAATAATAATAATAATAATAATAATAATAATAATAATAAATGAAAATGATATGATAATGATGGTGGTGGTGGTGGTGGTCGTGATGATTATGATGATGAGGATGATGATAATGGTGGTGAAAATTGTGGAAATAATGATAATTCGCATAATTTAGGTCCTATGCATACGCCTAGATCTCAAAGGTTCATAGGAATTACTCTTCATCCGACTCAAATTTTACGGATGATGACAGAATTTCACAGATTAGAATATCCCGCCTTTCTTGTCTAATTGCCATACTAATACAATATTTTCTTTAAAAGCGAAGGCAGCTGCAATGGATGTACCCGTTACAAGATCGTTGTTTTTGAATGTATGCGCTCGATACGAACAACACCAGACCATTCGTTGACCTTGATACAGCCCTGGATATTGTCGGCTACAGCGGCGCCTCATAGGCCGGAAACATATTTGCTTTCCCCTCCGCAACGAATGTCAGAAGTGGGGTAAATAATAGGAATTAGAAAAAGTATGATCGGTTGCCAAGCAAATATTTAACCGTTAGCGCTTTTCCTTTAAAATGTTATCATTTGAATGTTCAATCGCAGATCGTTCAATGTTAGAGTCAAGTTTTAGTGATGTTTGCCATGTGGAACGGACAACACAAGGTGAGTGATTAGGGCTAAACTAATTATCATATTATTAAAAAATAATCGTAATTTTTTCAGAAAAATGTAAGAACTGAATATCATGATTTTCTCTTTAAAGTCGTCTGTTTTTTTGTTTTTTTTTGCAATACAACAGGTTCAAATTGTAATTTATTTCTATCGTAGGAAGGATGGTTATGAGAGCTACAGGTAGGGCTAATTCACAATATAAAGAATAGAACAATAAAGTTGGTATGTCTACTGCTATAATCTTGGGAAGTTTGATAAATATTTTATATAATCATTTTTAGTACTGTAAAGACCTATTAAGGTACCAGGAGGTTTTCTTTATTAGGTCAGATATATATAGGCTGTGCTAAATTATACACGTCCTGTTTATAAGCATAATTATAGCTGTTACTATCCATCATGTATAGTGTAGAACCACATCATTTCGCGCGCCCTTAATTTTCGCTATCTTTCCAGAAAACGAGACGATCGCGAAGTTTAAGGGTGTGCAAAAACTGTGTCATTTTATTGTTTTAACAATGCGGACATTGGTAAAACAATGATTTTGTTCACAAAACGCCAGAGGTCTCGCGAATGTGCTGTTGTATTCGGCGCATCTTCGTCTCTTAAAAAAGAGTGTATTTTCTCCGGATCTTTTCGCCGTAGAATTTTATATTTTGATCCCAAATTTCACCTGTTTGTCATATACAAAAAAACTTGTTTCTCCGGATCTTTTCGCCGTAGAATTTTACATTTTGATCCCAAATTTCACCTGTTTGTCATATACATAAAAACTTGGATTAATAAAAAGATAGTTATGATCAGAAAGTTTAATAATTGTATCAGACTATAATATGTATGATATTGTATGGTCTATGAATTAAGAACTTCATCAGTAATATCAAGAATGATATTGCCATAACTGTTACAAGTAGCCTACTGCAAGTTTTACTAGGAATCCTGCACATCATACTACATTGAGAATATCATCATCAACATCATTATCATCATCATTATCATCATCATCATCATCAATATTTTCATTAATATCATAATCATCAACATCACCATCACCATCATCATCATCATCATCATCATCATCATCATCATCATCAACAACAACAACAACAACAACAACAACATCATCATCATCATCATCATCATCATCATCATCATCATCAACATCATTATTATACATTGAGGCTATGTTCATCTAATGTTGGATGAAGCCCTCTATTAGCATGCAGTTTCCACTTCCTTCTGCCTGTCATCATTTTACTCCATGCTGATGCATTAATGTAGTTACTTCATCTCTGCATCTTCTTTTGGTCTTCCCCCTCTTGAATATTATTTTAAAGATATATTCCAATTTCTATATAAAAATATCTATCATTGTCTAAATGAATAAAATGGGACTATAAAATGTATGCGTTTTATCGAACGTTTATAGGCCAACCAAGTGCTAAAGTTATATTAGACTCAGAGTTGGTTTTAAAAACATTTCAAAGGTTAACTCAGATTATAAGTTAGAAACGTTAATGTTGAAACTCAAGAAATAAAACAATCAACTGGTCTTACACACATTTCTTAACATGATTTAATAAATTCGCATTAAAATATCAGATTTGTTATTGCGATAAGTGTTGCATCATAAAGACGTGGATCTACATTGGATATCTCAGATTAGGTCTATGCATACAGACGCAGTCATTGCACGAACCTTGATTTGACTGCATTATTTCGAATTTAAGATGTGGAGGAAAGATAATGCGTTGTGAACCTCGGGGTCTACCTGTAGGCCTATTTCTACAAAGGGCTTGGAAACTTCGGCAAATGTCTGCACATATCCTCCCTTTTTTCAAATCAGCAAACGTGATCGGTGTTTCCTTTTTCATATTAAAAATGCTTATGAAGAAAGAAAAAAGTGAAGCGGACCGATAACTATAGAACCTATATCAAACGGAGGATTATAAAGCTCATATCTCTTACTGAAAGGCTGAAATTCTTCTGTTAAGTTTCCTCTTCCGCTCCAATATTCCTCGTGCTTTTGTATTTTGTAAACACGGAAAGACATTAGTGGAGGTATGAGGTGGCAAGACACAAACAACTTAAAGCGCTTTGGACAAATCCCCGACGACAAATCCAGGCCTCGATCGTTTCTACAGAGAGTGGTAGTTTTCAGTACGTTCATTGCTACGTAAGTTGATTATTTATATCAGAAAACTTATATAACTGATTTCATAACATATGCTTTGCTTTGATAGGCCATAGACCCAGTTACAGTCGACAAGATATTTTATTTAGGTATGAATATGTCTAAATTCGTTCATCCTAATGTGTTTATTGTAATACAAATAGAGGTTTAGGCATACTATACTCGGCTGTTAAATAATGGCCTACCGCTTACATACAATAGGTGTAGGAAACAATGGTTAACTCACAAAAAATATCATCCTGAGTGTTATATAAAAAGTCGACCTCCCCAGATTTGTCAATCGTTTGATCAAAGTCCCAAGACTGCTGTGATGCTGACACACGGCACGATTGATAGCAGAAATCATAAAAAATGAATATGGCTTGGTTACCAAGACGTTAATTCGAAGTATTTAGCTTATCAATCACCCTACAAATAAAATCAGCACTTTGATTGATTTAGTTAAAAAGATAAGCCACTGTGGATAACGGTGTTGGGGTCAGATAATCAGTCGGCACAGAAAGTCTGGGACTGTAGTGAGGCCGGACATAAGGGTCAATATCCTCTTTGTTCACGACATGTGCCTATTGCACTTAATCAACAAATTCTATTTCCTTTCTTTTGGTTTAGCGTATAAAATTGGGCGCAATCTATAATAGATTATTTATTCGTTTAACTTTAATAAAACATTCTCAGTGACGGAAATGAGTAGGTTGATATGAAAAGAATAAACGGCGACACGGTTAGTGAACGTAACGAAAGAATATATAATATAAGAAGAGATGCTTATGAATGTTAATGCAGACAGAAACAAAGAATGTAAAAATTTCGGGACAGTAATTTTGATAAGGAGTGAGAGAAAATTGAGATGGGTAAGAACGGTGCAAGTAAACTTTTCCAACTGCTTTTGTGAAAGACGTATTGATTTTGACAACATTTAAGGCCAAATATCATGGAATATTTTCACTTACGTCAAAAAATGTGTGGTTTCTAGTGACTCAGGTTGTTAATATCCAGGGTTCGCTCATCGCATTACATCGTAAGGGTTCTTAGGACAAAGAAACCATATGTTTAGTAAGACGGACACACTTAAAAGCTTATATTATTACAAGTAACAGTAATGTATAATAACGGTGCAATTGACAAATAATTTCATATCACTCATCAAAACTTATTTCGCAACTATTTCTTTGAAAAATGTATATTAAGTGTGATGTTAAAACCCAATATCTGGAAAATCAAATCAAATCGA